GTCTGGCCGGCATCCACTGTAATCTGTTCTCCTTCATTATGCTAATCTGTGGGCGGAAAGACTCCTGTCATCTCCGAATGGCTTGTATGGCAACGGTAAACACCTTGGCCTGTCTGTAATTGGACAGGTGTCTGCACTGATGTCACCAGCTTTTAATTCAATTAGAGAGCTGGCTGCTCTGTTCTCCTTACCCGCTCATTTCCCTCGCACCTTTAGTCTGGCGGGGAGAGCCGCACTCGGCCAGCGCCTACCCAGGGGCCAGGGGCTGGGGCAGCCTCGCAAAGATCACGTGCGATATTTCAAATGGACTCCAACAAGCCAGGAGTGTTTCCATGTCCTCAGAGGCATCTGCAATAATTTGGAGACTTTGTGTTTCTGTCTCTCCCCCCCCTCCTTCCCTGTACCCCTCCATGCCTTGAAGTGTTATATTATCTAAACACTGTCTTCTATCTACTGGCCGGTGGTAATTAGGAGCCATCACAGCAAACAGAAAAGCTGTTTCTGGCTTCCTCTCCCCAGGGCCCCGCTCCATCTCCAGAGAACCCATCAGAACACAATGCTCCTCTTTATTTGCTGGCATTTCACATTTGAATCAAGAAGGTGAGGTGAGCATTTATGAAGAGGGCCATCTGGTGAAGGGCACCCCCGGAGGAGCGGCTGTTGCCACCCGGAGACGGAACGCCAAGGGCCCACTTTTGGAAAGACAACCAGCTGGGGGGGCGGGGGGGGGGAGAGGAGAGCGGAAGAGCAGGAGCTGGCAGATTCTAATTTTTAAGAACACATCTCTGAAGAAGTTCGGAGCGGCACACCCCTCCAGGGTGGGGATTAAAGAGTAAATCAATCCAGGGTGCCACGCTTCCTGCCCACTTCAAGGAAGCTCGGAGATAAATTAAAGTTCTAACACAGACATTTTGACACAGTGACCCCATGAAACTGAGTAACGACATTTGTTAAATATGGATGAAAATTTAACGGTCTAGCAGAGATGGGGAAACACACCCAGGTTGCTTCTCCTCTGGTTCTTAGCGGCCCAGGAAGCTGGCATCTGTTAATGGTTTTGTTTTTTCCCCTTGTAATTTTGGTACTGTTTTAAAATAAAAATTAGGATGCCTAATATTTAGAAAACGAAAGTCAATTTTCATTTTAACCAAAAGGTGGAACACACAAAAGCACTCTCCCCAAACCTAAGGCATTTTTTTTAAAAACTCAAAAAATTCTTTTTTTTAACATTTTATTTACTTCAAATGGACTTTGTGACCTTTAAATATTCTAGTAAGGAGTGAAGCAAATCATGTACCTTGAATCAAAGGCTAAACAGATTTTGTTGCTTACAAATAGGAAAAAAATTTGCCTTACTCTTTTATTTTCTTTGTATAATACAGGGTCCAACCCCAGCTTAAAGAATGATTCAAACAATGATTTTTATTGACCTCAAAGCATTATCAAGTTAAGATTCTCTTAGTGGGCCCTAACCGGTTTGGCTCAGTGGATAAAGTTTTGGCCTGTAGACTGAAGGGTCCCAGGTTTGATTCCGGTCAAGGGCATGTACCTTGGTTGTGGGCACATCCCCAGTAGGCAGTGTGCAGGAGGCAGCTGATCGATGTTTCTCTCTCATTGATGTTTCTAACTCTCTATCCCTCTCCCCTCCTCTCTGAAAAAAAATCAATAAAATATATTTAAAAAAAATATTCTCTTAGTGGGCTGACATCTAACCTCAGATTTGTAATCCGTGCCTTTGTGGTAGGAACTGCATTGTCTGTCCCTGTCCTTCTAATTCTGCAATAGGTTGGAGGCACCCACTCGTGTTAACTCTTTATCTAACTTAAAGGGTGGACACTGAAGTCACTAGGACTCTTCAAGAAAAGACAGGACTCCCTGC